CACACACACACACACACACACACACACACACCAAAGATTATAGTTTGAAGAGAAGAAGACTCGTTGTGTGTGGTGTTATTAAACTCAGCATGGAAATGAGATCTTCCCAGAAAGAGGCGCAGACGGTGGCCTTGCTAATCTAATTAATCAGCGTCTGGGTTTTTTTTGTCATCTCTCTGTTGCTCTCGCCTCTCCAGTTTTCTCCTTTACTCAGCTCATCCCTCCCTCTCTCCTTTGTGCCCTCCTGATATCTATGTCTGAACTTCATGCTCACATAAGTGTATAGACAGAAATCTGCCCAGTCATGTGCCTCATATAAAGCATCTCTTGTCTTCTGGCAAGAATAGCTGCTGCTGTGAGGGAACTGGATGTGGGAGCATGGAAAGTAGAGGCTTATCCATGTCTGCATGCAGCAGGGTGGAAGGATGGTGGGGATGCAGGATCTCCCAGGCTTTAGAGGCAACCTGCTACCAGGCCTTGGGGCAGCTGTCAGCGTGACACGCAGAGACCTGGTTGATGGTGAACAGACCCTGAGGTCTTTCTCTGGCGGCGGTGCTCTGATGGTGCTGCTGGTTCGACTGAGGTTCATATTTGGTTGCTTGTGTTTTTTTTCTCAAGAGGCGACAGCCGCTAGGCAGCATGGGAGGGGCCGCCCGCTGCTGAAGCGCAGCAGCAGTACAGTGCGCTATCCGGCGCAGTGAGTCAGCTGAGCTGCCGGTATCGAAGGCGCACGGAGAGAGACAGGGAGAGAGAAAGGAGTCTTTGCAAGATCTGGAGACACAGAAAGGCCGATGTGCAACTTTGGAGAGTCTGACATGGAAATACTGGAGTGATCGGAGCAAGCTTGTTGACGCATAATCCCGCCCGCCCCGCTGGCACTTGCGCAGGCACAGGGAGGGGGGCAAATCAAGCCTCACACAAACTCAAATCCTCCAAGAGAGACTCGCGGATTGCGCTGCTGCGGATTCAACCACCTCCATGCAGGAAGACACAACATTTTTTAGGATTTCTTTGACGCACTGTGGTGATGATGTGCATCTTTTCCGTGCAGATAAATGATCTAAAGCAGAAGACGTAATGCGCTTTAATAATTAGGCTTTAAATCCACTGTTGGATTCGGCACAGTCGCTGCGTCGCGGTCGGTGCGCGCTGTTGGATGCGCCCTGAGGTGTGGACAAGACCTGCCCGTGAATCATCATCATCATCATCGACATCATCGACATCACAGGCATTTGATCGCGATTGTGTTTAATACACGGGGAGATCTGGAGCCATGACAGGCCCCCCGCTGGTCCCAGCACTGCCCGCCACCTGCTGACGGTACCGGGCAGGATGGGAGCAGGTCTGCCGCGTTCAGGATCCCGAACCAGCCGATTTATCAATGGAGGAGGAGAGTGACACCCGGAAAATCAACAACAGCTTCCTGCGCGACCACAACTATGCAACCGAAGGTATTTAAAAAGTGATGATGTTGAGGGGAGAGAGAAAAACAACACCCTGAGCTGTTACTCTGCAAATCACCTGAGGCTGTGGCTGGAGGGATGCTGATATCACAGCAAATGTACCAGCCACTGTATGGGATTATTAAAATAATCATTAGGCAAATAGCTCAGTGAATAAATATCACAGGCTTTACATGGATGCCTTTTGGCTTGCATTAGGTCATTTAAAGGGAATTTAATCGCACTGTAATCTTCTATGGGGGTATTAAAGAAGGGGTCATTTCATATTAATGGTCACATGTAGGTTAGTGGTGTCACTGACAGGAAATGATGAGGTGGCTTCCCATCATACCTGCTATTTTAGGATCCTTTAATCTGCATGGTCAAGGGAATAAAGCTGCTTATGGAGTCCCATGTGATGCAGTTACAATAACTGATCAAGAAATGTATTTTGCTCCCTGTGTGTTCACTTGTTGAGAGAATGAGACGGAGGAGACAGGGAGGGTGGCCTGATTTAAGGAAGCAGCCTCTCTCTCGCACACACACTTTTTTTTTTTTACAGTACATCTACATAACGCATGCATTGAACAATAGCTGTGTCTCGCAGCGCTTTTAAATCCTGCTCCCTGCTGCACATGAGCATGTGTCCCCCTTCACTGACCACACATCAGCCTATTAACCATTTGATGCGTAATAGTTCCCTTATGTTCCACCAATCAGCTCCATCTGTCCTCCGCAAGCTGCTTAGATCGGCGATCAACATAAAAACATTGATTTACAGGTAAAGGTTATCGCTGATCTCATTACCACCTCCATCCTCATATATTAGATCATGCAGATTGGTTATGTGCATTAACTGCAGTTATCAGTATGATCATTAAAGCAGAGGGACTAAGAGCTTTTCATTACACAGAGAAAACATTAACATAAGGTCAACTTCATAAGCTTGTGTTTACAAAGTCTTCTAGGGCTGCAGCTAATGATTATGTTCATTATTGATTCATGTGCTGCATATTTACTGGACGATCAGCAAATTGTTTTGTCCATTAAATGTGGTGAAATGACCATTGTCATTCCAACCGACCAAAGGAGTCTGCATCTAAATTGCTTGATTTATTCAACCAATAAATAAAACCCAAAGATCTGTAGCTTACTGTCATGTGTGACAAGAAAAACCATCAAGTCTTCACACACAAAAACGAGTGTAAGGCTATTTTTGCTTGAAATTTACTAAAATGAGGAATCATCATAGTTGCCAGAATTGAATTGTTCTTTTTTTATTTGCACATTTTAATTTGTTTCTGCAGCAGTGGGGGAAGCCTTGCCTTCGACTAAACATGAGGTTTAAAATCAGACAAAAAAGGAAATTATTTAAAATATGATGTAACATCCCATAATCGAGCATCTATTCTGTAGTTGTCTAAAGGTAAGAAAAGTGGTGTAGAATAGAGGTTGTTGGAGGGTGTTTGTGGCTGCAGGGTGGGTCATAGCCACAATGGCTCCTTGGGTTTGCCAGTAGCTCAGGTTACTGATGCCACTGCAGGTTGGAGGAGAGACAAAGTCACAGCTCAGAGGGAAGATGGTCTCATTCTCCTGATGCTTTTTGTCTTTTTTTTCAAATTTAAACACAAAGATCATTGTGATTTGTTCTGCTCCCCGACTCTTTCAGATGAAACCCTGTCAGTGCTAAACACACAGTCACTGGTTCATTGCGAGCGGAAGTGAAGTGGGGGTGGGAGTGGTGTGATGGATATCTTTGTGTGATGTGTGCGCTGAGATGAAATAAAATGGGAGGGGAGCTTCTTCCAGCTTCTCCCTGTCTCTCGGTCTCCCTCCTTCACTCTGTCTCATCCCTTTGATGGAGAGAAAGTGTATGAGAGTTGTACAGGTTGTAAAACGTGTCTCCATAAAGCAAAGCACTGTCTAGTCTCTGGCCCATCTGTGCTTTTCAAACAATGAGACTCGACTTTTGTTATTTTCTTTATGGTGATAATTTATGGATGAGCGTCACACCTCATATATCATGAATGTGTGTGTGTGTGTCTGTGAAATCACTGTCTCTCCTTGTCTCTAAATGGTATAGAGTCTGTCTACAGCCAAAGATCACACTAGCTGGTGTCTGGGTCCATCGCCCTTCAGTAATAAATTCACCAAAGTGCACATGTTCCATCAGGCCTGGTCCATTCAGACCACACACACACTCACACATGCATACACAGGTCCCTCAACAGTGGCGGCGAGCTGGTAAGGATTTCCCCCCAGGCCATGCCAGAGCAGCAGGACACTTTAATGATGTCACATTTTAATGATGTCACTCAGGCTGACCTTTGCCTCGCACCAATCCCACGCCTCACTGGGCCCATGGGCGGATACATGACGCGGTGTGTGTCCACGCTGATGTGAGCAAATCCGTGCTGGTCATTTATAGCTGGGTGTGAAATCTCAACGTCCCCTCGACACAAAAGCAAAGTTTCCAGAAGCTTCATTGTTGTCGAGCTGAGAGAAAATTACATCGCGGGCTAATTTGCATTCACCCGCCGCCTGCAGATGACACACAGCTAATGGTGATAGGATGGATGGTTCTGGGCTGTGTGTCACTACAGTTGTGTATAAGTGTGTGTTAAGTCAATGGAGTGTTACACTCCTACAACATGGCTCTCAGTTAATTCCACCTGAATGTGTTCGATATGGATGAAACCGTCAAATGACAGAACACCACCCTGGATGTAAAAAATGCAAATCGCTTCCTCGCTGTGAGGCAGCACCTAACCTAACGTCTGCTTTGCTATTGATTTCTGGTCCTTTACAATTTAGCCACCGGAACAATGACCTGAAGATCTATTGGTAGGAAGCGTAATCCCTTCCTCATTCTCTCCTCCTGCCCCCTCTCGTCTCCCTCTTTCCCTCTCTCTTGCCTACGCCGCTTACACTGTACGTCTGTCTGATGCAAGCACAAGCCTGTGAGTATGATGTGACCCCTGTAGACCCGCTGAATACTGATGCAGTGCCGTAACAGAGAGCTCACAGCCTTTATTGCTGCTGCAGATGAGAGCAAGGGGGGGGCAGCGAGCCTAGTTGCTTGTGCCAAGGCAAACGGCCTGGGGCCACACTTTAGGACCCCAGCATAAAAAAAAAGCTTAGCCCACCATACCCTCAGGTCCCATCCATTATTCACTATATGAAACACTCAAAACGCACAAGCCCCGCCTCAGCACGAAGCACAAGAGGGATAATGTCTATGTGTGTGTGTATGGGGGTGCATGGGATGGGGGGTAGCGGGGGCTTAATGGCAAGCTGTGAAGTTGGGGAGAGTCACACTCCTTATTCAGCAGCTGCTTTCATCCCCTGATTAGCTTCTTATTAAGTCTGCAGCTCCATGAAATTTTAATGAGAATTTATTAAAGAATACCCTTAGTGTTGTTACTGTAGGATGATTGCAACAGAAAAAAATATATATATCCTATTTCGCAACTGCAAAAGAGCTTCCTGGTGAGTGGATTTGAGGTGTTGCTGTGATAGATGTACTGGGTGTGATTCATTCGTTCATCATTCATTGAGGGCCGCTAGCCCGCAGGCTAAGCAGTGTTTGACCTTTCTGGACTTTATAATGGGATACATTTGTAAGTTTTGATAGCTAATTCCTGCGTCCTGCGTGCCATCACTCCACACACTTCGTGTTCTGGTGATAAGGTCATCGCAGAACGATGCGGGTTTTGTGCAGCAACGTTCTCGTCTTTGATTTTATTCCTGCCTCGAACACTAGGGAGATGAAAGGGATTGCACCAAAGCAGCACAGACAGACAGATAGAGAGGGAGGGTTTTTTTTGTTTTGGTGGTGAATTATAATTCTGTGTGCCCCCCGTTTCCTCACCATCCCCCTCCCTACATCTTCAGTTTCTAAGAGAATACCAAATAACAAGCATTCCAAATGATTCCTTTTGGTATTCAGCTTGGTGGTGGCGGGAATCGATCATTCATTTCACTCCTTTTCACCAACCCGTGTTTCGCCCTTTCCTGTATTGTGTTAGATGTGTTCCAACGCCGATGTGTTAATGAAGTGTGAGGAGTGAAGCAGTTACACGTCTCGCCCATTTCACCCTCAACTCCCTGTGGGGGGGAGTGTGGGGACATAGAAAAGCATACGCACACACAAAATGCATACACACACACACAGTCTCAATCTCAAGGGGCTGATCCAGGAGAAACCAGGTTAATTAGCTTGTTCACTCCACATCTTACAAAGAGTCATGCTCTTCAGATGAACAGAGCTGTGTTGTGCTCTGTTGCTTTGTGTGCAGCTAATAAAGCCTAATAACCCCTTAATCATATGGCTGGCTACCAGACCAGTAGGTAACATTTTGTTTGATCTCCATTGTTGTTGGTGTGAAATGAAGCTGTGATCGGCTGCTAATTCAACACAGAAATGGGCCTTTTCATGAGCAGAGTTTATACATGTGCCATCCCTTATAAAAAAAGATGTACCGACCGATACATATTGTTGATTATCACAGAAGGAACATAGAGCGGCGAGTGAGAGAGTGCGAGAACGGATGTGAATTATCCCCCTGGCCTGATCCTTTGACGCAGGCAGCTCAGCACAAGTGCTGTAATCCTCTCCTCTCCACGTCTACTGCTAACAAAGCATTTACACAACACCATGTTGCTCAGGCACCTCCCTCTACCTGGAATTACTGGACGCCACTTACACAACTGTATTTCCATGCATGAACTCACACCGTTTTGGGTCTGTGTGTCTTACACAACCCTCCCAATGCCAGCGGATCCCGACCTACTTCGTTTTCTGGGGTTTACCCCTGACAGGATTATGTGCTGTCTAGAGGTTAGCTAGGGTGCTACTATTTTGGTCTTTGCTTGTGTCTGTGCCGGTGAGACTCACTGTACGATCTTTTTGCTGACCTACTTAGAAAAACAAACCTCTGTCCCCAGACTCCCCCCTCACTCACAATCATTTCTTTTAGTGGCCCCTTCTGTTATGTGAGATAGATGTTGCGAGCTCAGGCATCTATAAATACATTCAATATCCTCACTCACCCGCCCTGTTTGTGGCTTCTCGTGCACAGTTTTCATTCCAGAATCAATGCATATCTATGTTTCCACCCGATTGATCTCACGTCCAATTCTATATTGCATGCTGAAGGGTGTTATTGCAGTTCAGGTTCCCAAGTAGAAACAGATAAGAGCGGTGCCATGCCTGTTTTTATTTGACTGGTACAGACACACATCACAGCAGCAGGCTCACAGGCTTGTCTGCGTTATTACTGGTGATGGATGTGTGTTATCTCGAACATCACTCTGATGCATCAAGAAGCGCTGACCTGTCTGTGTCAGACCTGGCTGGCCACAGGATTTATGGGCTTCATCTGGTTATGGTCTGCTGATGAGACTGTGTGTGTGTGTGTGTGTGTGTGTGTGTGTGTGTGTGTGTGTGTGTGTGAGAGAGAGAGAGAGCGAGAGAAAGAGAGAGAGACAGAATGTGTGAGTACACATTTGATCAGTTGAATCACCGGCCAGCTGCTAATTCTACTCCACCTTGAACCTCATGCTCACGTAATAAAAAATCAGATCTGATGCAAGCGGAAATATTCAGGAGACCCACCCACCTGCAGCTCTGCTGTTAATCAATCTGTTCCCTGGAGTGAAATTTCATCTGAAAAAACCAGCACGCTGCCATTCAAATGCAATTCCATCAGTGGTCGAGGTTGTCTGGTTAGAATACATTTGCATGAGGAAAAACTCATTTAGGGAAGCGTTCCATCACGTTGTGAGTCTCAGCTCACTGGCTCTCGCAGATTCTTCATTTACTGATATGATTGAAGGATGTATGGGTGTGTAAACTCGTTAAATGGCATCCATCAATTACTGTTTCTCCTCAGTGACTTAATGTGTTGATGATGAGGGATGGAGAGAGGGAGTGGGGGAAATGGGGAAAAAGAGGCGTATAAAGGACAAAAAGGGAGCAAGAGAGACAAGCTTGGATTCAAGAATGCTGACTGTTAAGCCGATTCCATTCGATTCACACCAGTGGCTTTGGCTTGATGGTGCTGGGAGAAGACACTATTGTGTGTGGCTCTGTGTGTGTGTGTGCTGCACATGCATGTCTCTGTGCACCCAGGGGGTCAATATATGCGGTATTAAAATGGCGATAACCCCAGTTTTGTGTGGTTTTTGCGTGCATGTGTGTATGCAACCACAATATGGTGTGCCAGTGGGGTTCTCCCAGGCTGTAATTAGGTCCAAGTGTGTCTTCTCTGTGAAAAAGTTATTGGTTTCAAATATGATTAGGATTGCCCCCCTGCATGGCCACAAGAATCCCTCTGGTCTCATCTTTTATTGTGGCTTTCTTTTCAACAATTAAATGAAACAAGGGAAAGAGGAACACCACACACGTACACCACACACAATAACGCATTTCCATTTCTACCATGCACAGCAGCTTTATGTGAAGAGATGAGCCAGTCTGCAGGGACTCTATTGTCTGAAGTTGTGCACTGCATTGAACTGCACACACTCCCCCAGATGCAGTACCAGGTTTTCACTCTATTGCAGCACTCACTCTGTCTGCTGAATTACAGCAAGCATCAGCAACTAAGTCTGAGAGCTATTGGCACACACACTCACAGACACATATACACCCATCTGACTGCTGCTAGAGATGGAAACGGTCTCCATAGCAACATTCCTCTCTCCTGTTCAGCACTCCGCCAGTAGCAGGTCCACAGAGGGCGTGGGGGGTACAAAACAACAAGCTCACTCTCTCTTTCTCTCTTTTTCTCTGTCTAATATTATTGTCACTGTTAAGCAGCGGGCTTGCCTCCACTGTATGTGTGTGTGTGTGTGTGAGACAGACATTATGCTATGCCCTTTTAGCCCGGGGCTGTATAATAATTACAGTCACCATTAGCATCTCCTAAAACCAGGCAGATGTATGTCTTTGAGGAGGAGAGGAGCTACCTTAAGGGTAGGTGTCTGTTATTTACTTTTTGGTAAAAATAAAACTGGAGCTATGCAGAAACACTGAGCAATGTTGGGGGTGTAGAGCAAAGAAGGCAATTATATCTTATAAGCATTACATTTCTGTTGTCCAGATTGAAAGTTAAAAAGAAGTTGTAGCATATATCATCCGCTAAGGAAACAAATTTGAAAGGTTTCTGATCTTTTTAAATGAAGGGGCAGGAGAGTCTTGGAGCAGCACAGGGTCTTGCAGCCAACAGGACACTGAGGAATGGCTTTATTAGTGTGGTGGAAGAGTCCTATAAAAAGCTGAAGTGCAATTAAATGACACTGACTGGCTCACTCCAATGAGACATGGTACTGAATTAGTTGATATCATGCAGTGACTCATCCAGTGTTTTGTCCTAACCTATATTTCTCCAAAAGTAGGGTAACAGTGCCAGAGAGTCCTCTATGGGTTTGTCACGAGATTCCCCTTGTCTGCCCCTCCTGTGTTTTCTAGAAGTCACTGCACCACATCTGCCTTCAAAGCTCTTTCTTTTTGTCTGACTTCTACCTTGACAGCTTTTGTCCACACTGACATTTTCTCCCCCTCCTCTCCCTCTCTGCTCCCTGTGTTGCAGCTGACATTATCTCAACGGTGGAGTTTAACTCATCGGGAGAGCTGTTGGCCACCGGGGATAAAGGAGGCAGAGTTGTCGTCTTCCAGAGGGAGCAGGAGGTAGGAAATGCCAACAATGCTATGCTAATTATGCTGCCCTTCAGCTGAGAGGATTTCACAGCCTTTTAACATTAAAGTTGGATTGTTTGCTTTTAAATAACAAGGGAAGGTGTATTTTTAAAAGGACTGCTTGTTGGAAATCTGAAAGGCACCACGAATTATAAAAATCTCTTTTACCGCAATGAGGCTTTGGTTGGACCAGTATGTCATGTTTTTAACCTCTGAATTGCAGTGAGGATCCCAATGATCCCAAAATTTAAACCACATGTAATTTAATACAACAGAGAAGCCATTCAAATATATCATTTTGAATTCAATGTTCATTCAGTATAAATCTGACATATTTGATATCTTTTTATAGTCATACTTAAACTGGAGGTGCACAGATGTCTTTTTGCACAGGGAAAAAGCATTGGTAGCTTTTTCTCCCCATTCCAAATCTTTATGAGGAGCTAAGCTAACCGGCTGCTAGCTGTAGATTCATTTTCATGGACACAAGAGTCGAATCAATTTCCCAAAAAGAGTGAATAAGCATTTTTTTTAAAATCACAAATTACTAAAAGAATGAAGCTCTCAATAACACATTTGATGTAAACAACAGGCCGATTTTAACCCTCATCTCTCTGGCATGAATCAGAAGTCTCTCTCTCACCTCCAACTAGTTCAAAACACAGCCGCTCAGTCTCTTACTGGTTTTATCATAAGACATTCATAAGACATCACACCACCCCAATCTTGGCTTTGCTCCATTAGTTCCTTGATCTCTTTAGAATTGATTTCTAAAGTTTTACTGGTTTCACTTTTAAAGCTTGCCTTATTCTGGCCCCAAACAACATAGTAGAAATGTTGTATATGAGATCTTCAGGTGAGGCCCTTCTGGTCATTCCAAAGTTGAAATCTAATGAGGAGAAGGCTTACGTATCCAGTGACTTCTTTTTGAATCACTTCCTAAAACCCATTTTAACAGACTTGCCTTTATCTCATGTTGTCTTTTTGTCTGTCTTTATGTTGTATTCAATTTTTTTATTTGTATTTACTGCTTTTACATGATGCTGTCTTTTTCTGTCAAAGCACTTAAACTCTGTTTTAAAGGTAAGCAGTAGTTATTATTATCGTTTATCATCTAATCTCTCTGTAACCTTTTCTCTGTCCCCTCCTCCTCCTTCAGAGTAAGAGCCAGCCCCAGCGCAGAGGGGAGTACAATGTTTACAGCACATTCCAGAGCCACGAGCCGGAGTTTGACTACCTGAAGAGTTTGGAGATCGAGGAGAAGATCAACAAGATCAAATGGCTTCCTCAGCAGAATGCCGCCTACTTCCTACTCTCCACCAATGGTCAGTCACTGAGCTCAGCTTCTTCAGGAGTGACACAGGTGGCAAAATGGCCAAAGGAGCCATCAATGTGTCACGACAGAGTGTTTACTGAAGGCGTGATTCATTCCTCACTCTGAGGATGGTCAGATGTACAGTTGAGATAAAAGGAGACGTTATTAATATCAATTCAGAATGACTATCTCTGTGAGCATATTGGTGTTTCGCTTGACTGAGCAGGTGTCACCAACTGAGGCATTTCATATTGACTACTTCATGCATGGCTGCCACAGCAGGAACACACTCACACACGCATATAAATCAAATCATGTGTCACCGCGCCCCATACATGTACACTAGCCTTAGCAGACACATACACATCAGCAGAGAGACATCTTGCAGATTGTGGTGCTTCATGCATGGCTGCTACAGAAGTGCTAGCGGTGGCTGGAGCAGATGGTGCAGGTTCCTGTGGCGATTGCCTCACTGCTCTGACACCAATACTCACAGTGGAAATTAAAAGAAAAAAAAACAACAACCTGACTGCTGGTGACACCCACTTTCACTAGGCCGAGAAGCCGGGCTGTAACTGGTGTCTACGTGATGCAGAATTGAAAAGCAGACAGATGGCTTTTTTCAGAGGGTGCATATACTGGAACAGGGAATGCAGTCAACTTGTAGATTGATATCAGTTACATCAGTATCTACACAGGAGCCGCCATTCATCATCCTTGCTGGCTCCTGCCCAGCTACATGCCAGATTGGCTGCCCAACCCCCCGCATCCATCTTGTATCCGAGTTTCACCGCGATGAGCCATTTTTCTGTGTGTGATTTTTCTGTGTGGTTTGTGTGATGTTTCTATCCCAGACAAGACTGTGAAGCTGTGGAAGATCAGTGAGAGGGACAAGCGTCCGGAGGGCTACAACCTGAAGGATGAAGACGGACGGATCCGAAACCCGTCAACCATCACCTCGCTACGGGTAAGAAGAGGTTACACAAAACCATCAGGTCCAACACCACCCATATTGTCACATTTGCTCTGGTAAACACCTCTGCTCTGTCTTGCTGGTGTGTTAACTGTGGCTTGGAGTCAAACCACAGGTCATGATCTGACGACAGGGAAAATATCAATCTTGTCTGGAAACAAAACATTTCAAGCTACAACCTCAGCAACGTTATATTCTTCTTTTAGAAGGAATGGAAAGCCACAAGACCCATGACGTTTTATCCATCCATCATCTATACTGTTTAACTCTTGAGGGTTAATGGGAACAAATCCCAACCGATCTTTGGAGAGAGGCGGGATACACCCTACTCAAGTCACCAGCCTATCACGGTTGATTTAGATCAACAACCAACCATTAACAGTCATATCAACACCTATAATTGCAGAGTCGGCATGTCTTTGGACTGTGGGAGGATGCTGGAGAACCAGGAGAAAACCATGCACACACACATACATTACCCAAAGGGTCCTCAGAGAGTGCATACCTCCGTTCCCTTAATAACCATATTTAAATTCACTAGATTTTTTTTGGGTCTGCGCCAAAATGCACACACTCATAAATCAGTCCTCTAAACATAACTGGGTTCTTTCCTGACCTGAAGTGCATCCTTCCATCAAGTTTAGTGGTAATCCCTCCCTTGCATAAGCACCCTAACTATCAAACAGTGTTAGCACCTGAAAACTGTACCTCCTTGGCGGAGGTAAACATTGCTGTTCACTGTGTTACTGTGTGGACTCAAGAAGTGTCAATATTATTTAAATGTATGTCATATAAGGTGTTAATTATTGAGCTTTAGAGATGCTGATAGATGAACTATGTTGACCATAGTCAGAGCAAGGCTAGCTGTTTTGCCTAGTGTCCATGCTAAGCTAACTGGCAGTAGGTTTTTTATACACACATGAGAATGGTATCAGTAAATCATTCATCTTTACCTAACTCTTGGTAGGAAAGTAAGTATTTCTCAAAATGTCAAACTATTTATTCTTTAAATTAAGTCAAACTTTTTTTGAATCTTTCGAGAAATACATGATGTTATTATTCATTTCACTTATAATGGTTGGTGCACAATGCCAGGAGTCTGAACCTGAAATATAATTTTTTATCATTTGCACAAATTTTTCCTGAAAACTGACAAAAGCCTATCCTCAGTTTTAACATAGAATGGTCTGAAGTCTGAATAAGAACAGTACAGATAAGCTGATTAAATCAACATCTAGCATTCAGTCTAATCCTGCACGAACATCTTAGCAACACATACTGATGTGCGTATATATTTCTGTATATTATATATATCTCAAAGTCGACACTTTCTCTTTTAAATAGCAGCTGATGATCATATGGTGCATTTCAGGGCTGATAAATGAGATGAGAAATTTTAACTCAGACTGGCAGAAGTGAGAATGAGTGATCGATATTTGCAATGAGGTGAAGATTATTTTCTCTCTCTCTCTGACTCTCATTCTTATCACTCCACAAAACACTTTTCACACAAAGAAGGCACTGTGTGTGTGGGTTTGTGTGTGTGTGTGTGTCTGCCACAGTAGATTAGTGCTGTGTTCAGCGTGTCTGTCCCTCTTTGTCTGGCTGGCCAGGGGATCATAGCAACCTGGAGGACAGGCCGGGACTGTGGCAATCCTGTTTAGAGGCTGTGAAATCTGCTCAGGGCGAGAAAGAGCAGAGGGTGCGACTCGGAAATATTAATTAAAAAATGTAGCCGGATAATGAGGTCGACATTTAGTATCTCCCTAAAACATAAAATACGATCAAAATGTGTATATTCTATCTTTGTCTTTGCTGCTTTAAGAGACAAAACGACTCTTCATTTCTGTTGTAGATAGAGAGTTGCGTAATTTACATGATGGAAGGTTGAGAATGCATTAGGTTGTTGTGAAGGTGCAGGGGCCAAGCGGGCAGTGTAACTGTGAGTGTTTTGAGGTTATGGGTTAATACAGTCCACGTCTCTCTGGATGGCCACTGAAAGACATGGAAATGAAGTGACACCCATGGAGATACAGCAGCCTGCTGGGCTGCCATGTCTCTCTGTCGGTGCCAGCATCGATAGAGAGAAAAAGCAGCCGATTTGTTCGCCTCTCTCCCTCCCCTCCCTCCTCTCTTTGTCTGGGTTTTATCTGGCCAACGGGGGGCTGCATGCAGACTGGTGCTGGGGGTCTTTGATATGGAGCAGCAGTGTGAAACTCTGTGTGTATATGCGTGTGTGTGTGTGTGAATTTGTGTGAGTGGGTGTGTGCAGGAGAGAGGGAAAGAAAGCTCATCTTAATTCTACAGAGTTCAGTTATCATTCCTCAGCAGGGCCTAGCGATGCCCTCGGGCCATATCTCTTTCCACCTCCTTTACTTTCTCTCTTTTCTCCCCTTCTCGCTCACACACCAACACACACACACACACACATTGACTCTCAGTCTCTCTCTTTCTCACATACAAACAAACAAGAGAACAGGAGTGACTTGAACATGAGACAGAGAAAACAGAGAAAGGAGAGAGACACAGAGAGGTGAGAGACGCAGAGGAGAGAGAGAGAGAGATGGAGGAAAAGTATGTGCGGTGCGATCACTGAGTAGCCGTATGATTGAACCAGCTCATCAAACAGCCCCGAAGCCCCACCGACTCTGTTACATTAAGATTTGTGGAGTAAATGTCAAAGGAATCCCTGGGGTTATGCGGATGTGGCTCGCAAAAAAACATGCAAACACACACACACACACACACACACACACACACGTGCTGTATATTCCAAACACACATAAATCTATGCAGGCAAGAAGCCACGTGCATGCACAGATAAAGAAAAAAAGAGGGCTTCTAAGAAACCAGCTTGAGAGCAACATCACATTTCTTCCTCCCCTGTTTCTAACTGAACCATCTTCTCCAATAGGTGCCGGTGCTGCAGCCCATGGACCTGATGGTTGAGGCTACAGCCAGGCGTGTGTTCAGCAATGCCCACACCTACCACATCAACTCCATCTCCGTCAACTCCGACCTTCAGACGTTCATTTCCACTGACGACCTCAGGGTGAACCTGTGGAACCTGGAGATCACTGATCGCAGCTTCAGTATCCTCTTAATACTGTTACTTTAATAACATAATGTTTATGTTGAGGAGCTACTGTGTCGCAGGGGGTGAAAATGAACCCTTGAGTTTGAGTTGTAAGTAACTTGAGATTTGTATGTTTGCTGTCCACAAGTCGGACATTGTCCTTAGCGCCCGTCTCTCAGACATTGTGGACATCAAACCAGCCAACATGGAGGAGCTGACGGAGGTGATCACCTCAGCAGAGTTTCATCCCCAGCACTGTCACTCCTTCGCCTACAGCAGCAGCAAGGGCTCAATACGCCTCTGTGACATGAGACAGGCTGCACTCTGCGACAAGCACTGCAAATGTGAGTATCCATGCAGTGCATGATGGGACAAATTTTTAAAAAGCAAGCCAATAAGCCTACAAAATTTGGTAGAGAACTATTCTGAATACGTTTTCTTTCCTGTGATGCCTGTTGGTCTATTATGTGGAAGTAATACTTTCAAAAAGTACAGCACCAATTTTATTGAAACTTTGTGTGGTATGGGCCAAGGAAAAGCCCTGTTAACTTTTGGAGCGCATTTGATGAAGGGGTATGAATACATGTGAACTTATCAAGAAATAATGGACAAAAAACAGGCATATTTAGGGGACTAAATTCAGGTATGTGCAATTTAGTGCAGCGTGGTTGAATTTAATGGGACTGTTGGGCCTTGGTTGAGCAATTCCAGTCATAACTGTTATTGTTGGAAACAGGTATATACATCTGACAGGGTCTCACAGTACCCTTCAATTCAATCAAGCTGCACTGAATTTCACACACTCATAGATATCAGTCCTCTAAATATTCATGAAGATTCATGAAGATTTCCTGGGAAATAAAGGAAAATGTCAAAATTGTTCTCACTATGTCAAAGAAAGTGAAACATAATCCTGGATGCATTCCCTGATCTGCACCAAAACTCAATGGGTTCTTTCCTGACACATCCTTCCACCACGTTTTGTGGAAATCCGTTGAGTGTTTTTTGTGTAATCTTGCTTGCAAACAGACAAACATGCAAACCAACCAACAAACAAATTGATTGGGGTGAATATCTAACCTGGAGGTAAAGAGAAGTGATAGAACTGTAAAAACATAAAATCAGATAAACATGCAACATGATACAACATCCACCTTCCTGTGGCATGGACATGCAGCCTCCCCCCACCTCAATATGCCAGGATTGATAACCCGTCAATAAATCTGTGTGTGTGTGACTCAAACAATGAATGGCCTTCTTTAAAGCTTAACATCACATGCATACACTTTGGTTGAATGAATACATTGACATTTTCGCAGGAAAATCAATAGCTTAAAAGCAATCGCATTAGTCCCTCATGGACACACCTTGTTGTTCAATAATGTCAGTCATTTCCTCAGACATATTGACGTGTTCACTGGACCAGGCACCAGCATGGCCTGTTTAATTTCACCTGAGCGTTTGAGAGATAAATAAAATATTGGGATGAGGACAATTTGGGAGTACATTTCAAGTTATGTTATTCAAAGATGGCCGGACTGACGCATGCACGCACTCAAACACACGCAGAGCAGGCTCTCATTAGCCTCAGGCAGGTTAGTTACAGACCTACTCTTTCACTACATGGACCTGTATGGCTCAGAGCAATCCCTCCCTTCTTCACACACACACATGCACGCACGCGCACACACACACAGAATTAGAGTGAAGATGGATGGATAGATGAGGGATGGATGGAGGGATAGGAGAGGATTGCCAAAGCGCTGAGCCCCAGGACTGAGAGATGGGGACCAGAAAGCTCCTCTGCCCACTCCCCAGGGACCCTATTATACACCCCTGGACTGGGAGGGGAGGAGAGGGCAGCTAGGGATGCACACACATGCATATATACATACACACACCCATTTATACACAACCACTCATTCACTGACACACACCAAATCCAGCAGGGCTGAATTGGGCCCAGGACTTTGACATTGATTTGTTTTTCTTATCCCTCCCTCATCCCCCTATTTTTTCATCTCTCACGCCACATCCCTTGTTAGACTCCCCACTGACACGTCGCAGAGCTATTCTCCTGGCCTCGGCTGAGGAGGAGGGAGGGGATGGAAGGAGGGTGGGGAGAATGGCGGGGGCATTTTTGGAGAGATGGAGAAGACCAAGAGAGAGGGGGAGGAAAAGAGGAGGAGGAACAATAACTTGACAGCTAACGATGGAATGCCTGGCTCTTATCCCCAGCGTGCTGGCCTGCACACAGATGAGCAGCTACCAAAATCAATATGAATCATAACCAATATTTACCCAGCATGCTGACCCACGACCGGCTCCCTAAACACACACAGAAATAATCCTGTGAAGAGATGCAGCTGCTGCAGCAAACTCCGCATCTAGGCATTGCTGTGCCTGTCATTGTTCGCTAATGAAGGGCCCCCACCACTCAAACAGAATCTGCTTTGTGTTCTCTCACTGTGAATGATTAGAAGACGTACAGGAGGGAAAACACCTCTTTAAAGTGGCGACCTCCTACAGTGTTGAAATGTATTTCCTCTGTCAGGAGATAACTGCTTTTTGCTCTTTTCTCTCGCAGACTTTGAGGAGCCGGAGGATCCCTCCACTCGCTCCTTTTTCTCTGAAATCATCTCGTCCATCTCGGACGTGAAGTTCAGCCACAACGGGCGCTATCTGATGACAAGGGACTACCTCACTGTCAAGGTGTGGGACCTTCAGATGGAGAACAAGCCACTGGAGACGTACCAGGTACGGATTCATCATGCCTGCTGGACAGCTAGAAAGCCTCAGAAGAAAACACTCAGCTAGTGAAGTTGGTAAATAACAGTTAGGCCGCGGATCAAATCAAAACTTATTGATTTCAGACTAATCACTCAACTTAATCCTGTTTCATTGTCACAGTGTCAGTGATTACCCCAGGAGGTCTTATGAGGGGTGACGGCCCATAAGATGAGACAGATAGTGTCTGTGCTGATGCAACCAGAAGGACATAACCTCCCACTGTGCGGTCACCGGGGTCACATCCACTGTCTGATCAGGGGAAGCCATCTTAGGGCAGGTCATGATTGATAAGGCCTCCAGCTGGGCTCGGGGGATTCTCTTTTCAATTCCAGCTCCGCCTCCACCTGCCTCTCATCTTAGCGAAGGTCACCAGGTCCTGACGGATTATTGAAAGTGGAGCATATGGTAGTGCAGCTTAAGGCTGTGTGGCTGAACGTGGAAAGGAAATGTGGGAAACTTAAGTTGCTTGAAAACAGTTATGATATCCCGCCAAGCGGTTTAATTTTCTTTTTTATTTCAGGTTCACGACTATTTACGGGGCAAACTTTGTTCTCTGTATGAGAATGACTGCATCTTTGACAAGTTTGAGTGTGTCTGGAATGGATCAGACAGGTAAGACTCCCGATCCATCCATCCGTCCATCCATCCCTCCATCCATCCATCCCTCCATCCATCTAATGGTCTACTCTCCTCTCTGTTTCCACAGTGTCATAATGACGGGATCCTACAACAATTTCTTTAGAATGTTTGACCGGAACACCAAACGTGATGTCACACTGGAAGCGTCCAGAGAAAACAGCAAACCCAGAGCCATTCTCAAGCCTCGCAAGGTACAGCGATTAATATCCCATATACAAAAGAACCTATATCGAGTCAAAGACAAGTGAATGTAAAGCAAGAGACCCAACCAGGCAACTAAAGAAACTTCTTGAATAAATGGTCTCCTCATTCAATACAAATGCACAAGGAGAATTCAATCTTCTGATCAAGGAGCTGCAACATACCTCCAATCTCTATTGAGTCTATTTCAGGATGTCAGTGGTTCAGTTTGATCGGAGATCATATTCACATATAAAAATTTCTGTGAAAGTTGATCCTGAACAGCTCAAACTATTCTCTGGACTGTCTTTGACAGATGTACAAAACACAGCAAATTGTATAAATACAGTTTAAATAAGTTCTTTGCCATCACATTTGGGGTGAACAAGCAATAAAAGTGTCTTGAACATCACCAAAAACCTTCTTAATTTGTGCTTTTGAATCTCATCTTAATGCCTCTTTATCCTCACTGTTGTCCTCCAGGTGTGTGTGGGTGGAAAACGACGTAAGGATGAGATCAGCGTAGACAGCTTAGACTTCAGCAAGAAGATCCTTCACACCACGTGGCACCCTCACGAGAACATCATCGCTGTAGCCGCCACCAACAACCTCTACATTTTCCAAGACAAGGTGAACTAAAGGGTGACCTGCCCCTCTGACCCCTGGCCGCCTCACACGTGAGGAGGGGGGCTGCGGGGAGAGGTAGGGCTGGAGAAGGAGAAAGAGACAAACCCCTTCTCTACATCCTTCTCCTCCTCTCCCTATACGTCTTGTTGCTGCTGGACTTGAATTTTTTGCCACCCAGCTGAGGAAGTGCAGAATTGAGTATCCAGTGAGAAAGTGGACAGAATGGATTTGGGGAAGTGGAAAAATTGATACGACCTGGATACAACAAGTGGAAAAAGATTCCTTGAAACCGAGAATGGACTTTTCATTCTTTAAACTGACCTGTAATTTTATTTATTTAGCCATGCGGACACCCGGGGGAGTGAATCCTGTGTATTTATGCAACAAGAGGATTGCTGCATGAATAACATGACGTAGCAGCCCTCTGGACCCTGGAGAAAGGGGCCGATGTGGGCACACACAACGTAAAATAGAGCACACGGACAGAAACCAAGCTTACATGATGGTGGATAACTCTCATGTAGCAACAGTGCCCCCTCTCTTTCAGTCTGCTCATGCTGCAGTGCATGTGCAAGGTGTCGGACAGTGCAACCCGCTGCAGTTCCTACAGATGAGGAAGAGACTGACTTTTTCTCTGCCTGTGACACAACACAGTCTTTCTAGCACCGATTCTGTGTCTCCCTGCTGAGACTGCTGTAGTGTAATGTGAATGAAGCCCTTCCAGGCTGTGTCAATCGTTTTATTTAATGCTGTTGTTTTATTTCGAGTCCTTTTCTCGGTCTGTGAGTCTGTTTAGAAGCTGTGGTGCCTTCTTTTGGTATGTGGGGGTTTCGATGTCGTGGGCACGGGAGGGGGAGGGAGGGGAGGGGACTGAGTACAAGGCAGGAGTGTGAATGTTTCAAATGAAACGTTAACCTTAGAAATGTTTCTTTTGTTTTTTTTCTTTTCTTTTCTCTCGTACTATCTCTCTTTATGAACAAAAATGAAAAAAAAAAAGCTCCACTGAGGTCCCAAATGGAAAAAAGTGCTTGACCGGCTTTATGCTTGTGAGTTTATGGGGGGATGCTGTGATGTGTACAAAGTAATTGTTGCTCTCACCACACAGCCGACAGTCAGATGTCAGATGTCATCAGTTTGCAAGAGACATGACAAAAGCCAAAATTAAACAGTTCTGCAAAATTCCTGCTTCAAAAAGAGAAAACAGTTACTCATCTAGTTTATTTTGATGTTGCATAAAATGATCTGTAGATGGTAAAACTGTAAACTTCTCTCGTTAAAATATTATTGAAGGTTAACTTGAGATTTCTTGGCATAACATAATGTTGTAGGCCAACTCTTGATCTTGTTTTTGCATGTGTTACATCTGAATCTGATGACGCTGACAGCCTGCGTTTAGATATTAGAACATCTACAGATCATCTGAAGCACTATCAATATATTCCTCGCTTTCTCAAGCCAATTAAGTTTGCGGCCTTGCTTGTCCACGAAGATGTGTAACGTGAAACAGCAGCAGGTCGTGTTACAGCACTCGGCTCCTCTGATCAGCTTGGATGTCCTCACTTGTCTCAAATTTTGTTTTACGAGCCAGATCCCATCGAAGGAAAGCAGTCAAAGGTCTAACTGAACTCTGTGAAATCAGGGAATTATTAAGTGTGATTCCTTTAAACAGTGATGTCGTCTAGACAACCTCCTTTGTGACACTTCTAATTGAAACAAAAAAAACTTTTATAGCTCAGAATGTATTGAAATGCAATTAATTACCATGCAGTCTTTATGCTTACTGGACTTTCTTTGAATAAAAAAGAATAAAGATGTGCAAGTTCAAATGCTGTGTTGTTGTACCGACTCTGTTAACTGTGTTGACTATGCGATTTGCTGCTTACGGTGCAAGGGTGTCCTCATGTGGACAAAGAGTGGAAAAGCAGTCTGGCTGTTGCCAAGACGAGTGGTGAGTGGACACAGTAGGTGAATGATTTCAAATGAATAGAAACTGTCATAATTTTCTTAATGTCTTGATTATTCATGTAACACCCATTTATCAGTTTACTAATGGAAAAATAGCTTTTAAATCAAGGCTGCTGACCCATTCATATATCTCATACAATCAACAAATGACATAATCTATCTCAACTCCAGATTGATGCTTCCAATGTCGTATTTTCTCGATTGTTTGTAACACATTTTTAAAAAATCTGCAGCTGTAATGTTACTGAATTTGTGCCAGAAAATCTTCTAATTGACAATTAACCATTAATATCTATTAATTCGACGAGGAAAACCCAGACTAATTCACAAACATTTACACTAATTAGAAATCCAATGCATTCATATGTCGTACTGTGCACATTATGCAGAGTTCTTCTAATTGGCCCCGCGAGGCAGTGGGTTTACGCACATTTTGTCAGCTGGGGACAGCAGCTGTCAATCACAGAGCATCTTTAAAACCAGCCGCAGAAGCTGCATCATTGTGTCTCACGGTAAACCCAGAGACAGACAGGAGCTCTACTGTGATGACTGACAGTCAATCGATACGATTATTATAACAGGTTTAGACTCGGGATACATACTTTTTCAAATCAATCTTAAGACTTTCTCTCCTCTTTGCTGCCTTTTACATTTTGCATATTTTCCTCTCGTATCAGATCACCGTCTACCTGGAGAAGATGGATAAGTTAAGTGGGAACAATGCGACGGTTCTGAACAGCTCAATAGACAAGTGGTCTTTTATTGAACGTGGCTCGTTCCAACACCTGAAATCTGGTGAACTGAGGGTCCTGGTGCCGGCCATCCTGGGAGTCATCTGCGTCCTGGGTTTGGCTTGTAATCTCACCGCGATGGTCATCTTGTTCTCAAATGCACATCGGGGCAAACTGTCTCTCATCAACTCCCTCATCTTCAACTTGATGTTTGCTGATGGGCTGGTCCTCGTATTTACGATGCCTTTCAGGGCTGCTTTCTACTCCAAGGCGAGCTGGGACCTGGGCTGGGTGGTTTGCAAGACAGCCGACTGGTTTCTCCAGTCCTGCATGGCTGCAAAGAGCTTGACCGTGGCGATCATGGCCAAAGCTTGCTGCCGCTACGTGTCCAACCCGACCAAGCAGGTGAGCATCCACCTGGGCTCTATACTGGTGGTTCTCTTCTTCATCTGGCTGTCTGCCTGCTCTGTCACCATCCCTCACTGGCTGTTCGCAACTCTGCATAGAGGAATCCGCAGGGTTACGTGTGTGCTGATGGTTCCTCCTGAAGCCCAGGATTTCATGACCGTGTATGTCAAAGCGTACCCCCTGGGGGTGTACTGTGCACCTCTCAGCTTTGCACTGATATATTTCTGGAAGGCTTACAGCCAGTGCCAGCGCCGCTCCAGTAAAAGTCAGAATCTGCGTACACAGATCAGGTCCAGAAAGCTCACCTTAATGTTATTCAGCCTGACTGTGGCTATGGCTATTCTCTGGCTTCCACAGTGGGTGGTGTGGGTTTGGGAGCGTCATATTGCAGAAAAAGAAATGGAAGGAGCTCAGCCACTCGTCTCCTCGCCCCCCCTTCTTCTAACCCTCTCCGCTCAGCTTCTCACCTTCTCTCTGTCGCTAGTGAACCCTATCATTGTCCTCTCCCTCTCCGAGGAATTCAGAGAGGGCTACAGGGGGCTGTGGAGGCGTCTCACCCTGCGCAAGCAACTTCCGTCCAAACCAAAGCCCGGACCGCACAACCCTACCTCTCTCCAGTCACCTTGCCCTAGACCTGAGACCTCAGTCCAGCTGAGAGGAGAGAGGAGCCTTCAGTCAAGCTACAGCCAGGGTACCAGCAGAGACGCTCCACCCCAGCCCGAACAAGGTGAAGGAGGAGGAGGACGTGGAGGCACAGACGTGGACAGAGTGAGCCTCAAAGATGGGATAGTGTTGCCAGATTTGGAGCATTTCTGGCACGAGAGGGAGACGGGGATGCACACAGACGAAAATGATCCTGTGCCGTGGGAGCATCAGGACAAATAGGGCAAAAAAGAACTACCATCTTCCAGCTTGATCAACATTCACTACGATCCTGAGCAGCAGCTTCATCAACAGACCTCAGCTCAGTGCTTTACAGTAAATCAGTGGTATTCTGTCAACTGTGTGTATGAAATTATACAAAAAGGTAAGAAGGCAATCAGTAAGGAAACAAGTGTGGACTGTGAATAGAGCAGTGCCATGATGCCATTTGCATATGCTTTGCAATCAGTTGTTTAATGTGGAGGAACTAGACTATAATTAGTGTAAGTGTGACTTGGTGGCTGTACATTAAAGCTTTTGGTAAGGATGATGTAAATGCATTTCACATCATATAAAGTATTTACAATAGATATATTTGTATATATATTTCCAGTAAATAATATACTAAATGTAAGTTGCAGATTTCCTGACATATATGGACAAGAAATCCCCTCAACAAACCTGACATTTTTCAGATTATATCATTTAAAAAAATCTTAATTGGAGGTATATTAAATGTTGACGGCTAAAATTAGCATGGAACCTTTATTTGTTATTGTGTAGATCTTTGTAGTATTACAAAGTGATGTAACATCCTGAAGTTTTTATGTGAAAGTGAAAGAACTTGTGGTTTTCCTTGACAGAGATTATTTTGTAACCATTGTGTATAATGACCAGTGTTCACAAGGCAAAATCTAAATAAATAAATAGCTTGTGTGTCATAATATTGTCTTATTTTGTCAAACATTGTTCTAATGGGAGGGAAAATATAGTATTCAACAGCAACTCAGTTGTTTGTGTGTATCTGTATTGGATATTCCTGGTTCAGAATTGATTTTAATTGATTTAATCAATGACACAAATACACATACACACAAACACGTTAAGTCTTAATGAGATGGATCAGACACCAGTTGAAGGTCTCCCGCGGACATTGGGTCATTAAACATATTTTCATAAGGGCATCCATTAGAATTTTAATTAGAGGTAAAGAGCTTAAGTCATAACTTGGAATCGTTTGGAAGCTCTGTGGGAGACTCATAAAGAATTCTCTCTTCATTGATCTAAATACATGCAATAGGTCAAAATCTCACAGTTAAAAGGGATAAACAACATGAGAGGAAACTGATCCAGGATCGATCCGTCTGTCTGCTGTAACAGCAACCCAGCTGTGCTGAACACTAAGGCCACATGTAAATATCCCTCTATTTCAAATTGTACTGACGTTACCTACATGGGTGAGGTCTGTTTTATAAGAAGTCAAACTGAAGGAGAGCAGAGGAGGATTTAGGGTGTAGGAGTCACCCCCATGGTTACCTAACACCTCTTTTTACTGCCTACCTTCCCTTATGACATTTTCCCCTCGTTAATTATTTATAATGACCTTTTATTGCCAGAGGCAAGAACCTCAATCAGAGCAACACTTAACTATATAACCCACTGTCAGTCCCTGGAGAAGTGACCAGGCCAAAAACACCAGGGGCAAAAAAAAGCTATTCACTCATTGTTGTACTGAAATGTGAGCCATCACGGTATAAACACAGAAATGATTAAAAGGTAAGAGCACAACAATGACTAATGTGAACACTGATGTCACAGTGTTTTTAATGAACACCTCCTGCATTCACTACTGTTTGACACCTCTGGCATTTACTGCTTAATGAGCCAGGAAATGGACAACTGCAGAAAGCGACAAAGCTGGTGGTGGGCAACTAGGTCAGTCCAGGCCATTACACATTGGCCGGGCGGCTGTGGCTGAGGGGTAGACCGGTCGTCCTCCAAACAGAAGTTCCATCCCCAGTCTTCCCCATCTGCATGCCGCAGTGTCCTTGGTCAAGATGCTGAACCACGAAATTGGACAAAAAAGTGCTGCTAATAGATGCACTGTATGAATGTATGTGTGAATGGCAAACTGTACTGTAAAGAGCTTTTAGTGGTCATCAAGACTAAAAAAGCACTATATAAATACTAACCATTTATATAAATACGAACCATTTACATTAGAGACAATATAATGGTTTTCAAAGCTGCAACTCAGATATTTTCCCTTGTTTTGCCTAATTACTCCAATAAATGTGTTGGAGCTTGACTGACATCTCCCTGATCAGCATCCACAAACCCAGGTGTTAAGAGACTGTCTGTCCTCGTCAATCACTCGACGACATAGTAAAAATTAAAGTCACAATCAATTACAATCAATATATTGCATCCATCTATCTAGAATCTGAGGCAATCACTCTGCCTATAACTATAATATATCTATAACTATCTACCCTAACCCTAACAACTTGAGTCTAATTAGCTAAGTGCGGCTTGCTTGATTCAGAATATTTAGTATAAAACAACTATGAAGCAAAAAAAAGAACTTAAATCAAGCATATCAATGTTGAGTGCATGTTGAGTTTTTGAGTAACATATAAGAGACAGAACTAGATATAAATAGGAGCAAAATCTGCAACATTAGGCAGAGACTGAATGAGAGAAATTTGAGGGGGAGAAAAAGTGAGATAATTATCAGTCTTTGTTCTGCTTTGTGTAAGAAAGTTAAAAAATGTAAAGCTCATAGAGGTTTTATGAAGATGGACACAAGCTCCCAAAGTGTCTTGATTGCCCCCTGGTGGCTTCTGTTTGTCATATACGTAAGTTCTTATCACACTGATGTATGTTCAAGCGTTCATTTTGGTTTTAATTTCTTATCTGCTGCTATAAAAAACAGGGTGAAAGTTGACTCACGATTGGTTGAGCGTGTGAATTGGTGGGACCTGGATAGCACGGCTCCGTCCCTCGATTGTTTCTGCAAAGACTATGGCTCCAAATGATGTCATCAGCTTAAGATGGTTCTGAGTTCTGATCCTGGATGGTTGGCCTTCATTTCTGGATAGTGGGAGGAAGTGGAGGTGTCTCATCAATCTTTATTCACAGTCTATGTTAAAGACACAAAGACAAAACCACAACAAAAAAAACACAATATTTACTAGATTTTAAAAATGCAATTCAAATAATTTAATCTCAGTTTTTTTTATCTGTCAATCACCTTATTATGTTGAATTTTTGAAAGTGAGCTACTTGTTGTTACTTCCTCAGAGACACATCTATTTTTCCTATATTTATTCTTTCTCTTGTTTTCTTAAACTTAACGATTCCCAGATTCCAGATAGGTTCTCTCAATCTAATTCCGAACGCAGTGTGGGAGTAATGTAATGGGAAACTTGCATATGAACTTCTCTTGAACTCTTTCCTATGTCTGATCAATGCTCGTGTGCTGTGTTCAACAATAACTCATTTAGAAACACAATTGTGCTCGCATAAGAGGAACTGTCTGGCGTACGTGCAGATGGACGATTCGAAACTAGACAGACACCTTTTTCTGTTTTACCCTTAACTATCCAATGCCATGACTCTTGCTATGCACTTGGCAGATGTAACCTCAGAGTTCATGTCCTTTCTTGATGATGATCCTCTTGTTGACCCTGATCCGTACAGTAGCAAACCTCTTCTTTCATGCAGAAGCAAGAGCAGACAGCTTCTTGTGTTAACCAGACTACAGGTGGCTTCAGTTTTCATGCTATTACTAAGAAACAGTTGTCTCTTATGTTTCCTGTTTACCTGACTGTATAAAACCTTCTTCTTTCCCTATTCGGGGTTGTTCCACTCTGAGCATTCATTCTGAGTGTGAAAAACTCTGCAGAGCTCTATTAAAGACCCAAAGATAATTCCGGTCTGAGAAACTCTTTATTTCACGTCTCGAGATAAAATTCCACCACAGTAACTTATGATATGCTTCATACATTATTTGGTAGAGTATATAACCTAATAAAAGAGTGATAGTTAAAACCAGACAAATAGAAATACACATTTTTTTTCTGTTGTCGTCTACAAGTCAGCTGGATGGTTCTGCTGTCACTCAGAGGCTCGTTGAGCTAAAGGTGTGGGTCTCTTTGTTAATTTACTTATACAAAAAAAAGAGGATGTAAAGCATCTTTTGGACTTTTAGGCTATTACAGTGGGTCTGCTTGCTCAGCAATCCCACCAATTACAAGTGGAAAAACAACCCAGGGTTAATTAGGTCATTATACAAGGCAGGGGAGTTTTCAGCAGGTGAGATCCTCTCTTCACTTCTCTCCTGGCTTAGCCCTCCCCCTGCTGAGAGGGGGACGTGGGGGTGTCACCCCTGCATTTTATCCCTCAGCCAATCATCATCTCTAATAAATGATACTCCACAGGAAGTAACACGCCAGCCAACACTAATTATGCTCAGCAGGAGAGGCTGGCTGCAATTATGCCACATGCTAAAACCTCTGCCTGCCACTGCTTCATCTCCCTCTGAGTCACAGCCGCCTTCTCCTGCCTTTGGTCCCATGGAAGATCACCTGGCTGGAGAGTCGACCGAGGAGTGTGTGTAATTGTTTTTCTGGGGGGGGGGGACTTGGTATTTAATAGTCTTTTGATTAGAATAAATCAGAGAGCTTTCATCTCATGTGGAGTTTTAAAGGGCAGGCACCTTTCAGCATTTACAGCAGGACTGAGAGTGGGGACCATTTAAACCTATCCACTGTGGATTAGAGCCTGGGGGAGGAAATTGTCTCCAATAGCTTTGACAATGAATCCTACAATGGTGTTATCAATCCATAAATGTTAACTGCAAATAAAAATGAAACACAAGTACCCTAAAAATATACAGAACCTGGAAATGTTAGAGAAAACACTCATATTTTAAACATAAATGCACATCGGGTCTGCTTTGATTATTCTGTAAAATAAACATTTTCATATTGGCGCTTTACTGCAAAAACATTCATGCAGATAATGAAAGGTTTATTGACTTTATCACACGGATACCTGGAGACCCAAACCCAGAGGTACCACTTACTTAATCCTAACACTTCTAACCTGAACCTAACCTGAAGCTAACCTTATCCTAACTTTACACATGTCTTTACCTTTACTTTTTAATTGTTGTGAATGTTTGACATGAAACTGTTCAAATGCTGAAGACAATGCTTAATGTTACAGTGCGGTTTACTTTATCATCAGAAAGTTCAGTAATATAATAAAAGTTAGTATAGCAGACATGGTGAGGTGAATTTACAGTTCATTTAATAGTTTACAAATAAATTACACTATTTTACAACACAGATTCAACATGAAGGCTGTGACT